CTATTACCGTACCAATGGACTTCCCAGTGTAATCTTAGCAACAAAGGAGAGATTTAAAACACTGTGATTGTAAATGCTTCTTAACAGCCTGAAGAAGGCTAACATTTATTTAATTTTTAGTTAATAAGACAAAGACTATCTAGAACTAAAAGCTTTGAATTATTAGCACCAGATTTATGGAACCTGTGTTTTTGACAAAATTCGGACTTCATGAGAAAAATTACAAAAAAATTATTTTTAGAGTTTTCTAATTTATGCTGAATTATGTATGTAGTGAGACAAATACATATCCAAATTTATTTTCCCTTCAGTCCTTTAATTTTAAAGTTTTGTTTGATGTAAAATGTGTACCTACCTCTGCGGATACCCGTCTAAGCAAGTTTCATAGTTAATCATAATAAACCGGTTTTTATGAAATTAATTTTTCTAGTGACAAATATAAAAGTAGTTAGTAAATACTAAATAAAAAAACCATAATTCAACGGAGATATCTTTTGGTAGCTTCAAACCCAGTATCAATGTATTGCATTTCACCAGAGCAAGGTATATGTCATGTAATTATCTGTAAATCGTATGTACCTAAAAGCATAAACATAAAATGTTAGACTCAAGACTAAAGAACATTCAGCAGTCATTGAGTTCCAGTCAGTGTGTCAAAATATTTTTAAAAAAGTCTCAGTTAATGCGAGTAGAAAATCGAGAAGAAAGTTTTACATTATGAGCATTATCAATATTATGGAATTAGAGGGAAGTGTACTAGTTTCACTTTATTCTGACAAAATAGCTTCTTTAGTCATCATGAGTAATTCAAGAAGAGATACTGTATGTTTCAAGAAAGTGGTTAGTATCAATGAAGATGGCACTGGTACAATATATGGTAAGTTTGTTAACACTAAAACTACCATAACATTTTTTATACTGATAAAAACATTTACAATTTGTCAAATTGACAGTTATTGGTAGTTATAGTTTTAAGATAGTAGGTGTTTTTCAATTAAATTGTTATTTTAAGGAAGCGTGATTTCCTATACTGATCAATTTCATGGGTGTAAATATAGGTATATGGAAATGTCCATAAACAAAGTGTTTGTGGTAAAACAAACGTGTTAATTCTAAAAATAGTTAAATATTAATAATGTTATCTAATAGTAATATTAAAAACAATAGTTTAAATCTATGCTTATTTAAAAAAAACTTTTTTAAATTTAACCTAACTCGAAAATATCATTATTGTAATATTAATTTCAAGCGGTTGAAAGTGACATTGTTTATAAGAAATAAGTTGGTGGATAAATGTAAAATGTGTTAAAATAAGAAAGAGTAAATAATTCTAAATATTTACTTTAATAAAATTGTTCCATTAGTATCAACATTGTTTTATATTTTGTGTGTCATCATTACTTGGCGACTACAAAATTGGTGACCCGCTGATCACAAAAGATGCCAAAAACAGATGAAACTGAAGGCTTAGCTTATGTATCACCTCCATTTTGGATTGATGAACCCCCCCCCCCAAATTGAAGCACAATTTAAGATTTTGGGTATAAAAGCTGAAGAAACTAAGTTTAATTATTTAGTTTCACAAGTTTAGAGCCTAAATATATAAAAAAACATATGGGACATTGTCAAAAGCAATAGCGACAACAAATTTACAGATGCTATAAATAGACATTCGAATCTATTTAAAGGTACTGAAAATGTCTGAATAAAGAAATTTGGAACCAAACCAACTGTTGCTAAAATTAATATCCCTCGCTACAACTCGCATCAGAAAATCTATCTAAAGCTTTGCGGCTTGAAAAACCTACTAGAAACAATGAAAAACTGACTGTTAGTTATGAAAATACTTCAAAACTTGCTGTAATGGCAGATAAAATCAATGGTAAGAATCCACATACAGAAATATGTGATGTGCATAAAGCCTCAGAGGAAACTGTCCAAATCAGCAAAGCAACACATGATGAGCTGTTGAACAGAAGTTTGTTTTTGGAACAACAAATGGCAAAATTAAGTATTAAAAAAAAATGTCAGATCAAGAGTGAAATATAATACCCCTCACTCACGTTCGCATGGTTGATCTAGAACACTCCAAATTGCTAATGGAAAATATTGTTATTTTCATTTTAAATTTGGAAATAAATGGCAAGCACCATGTCAGTGGGAAAAAAACAAATAAGTGAAAATCGGGAAAACTAGATGTTGCAGTAGATCTGGCAACAAGCTCTCCTGCAAACATAAGGATTGTCACAAATTTTGTTTATTTATAAAAGATAAAAAATTGAATTTGCCATTTCTTGTTCATACTACTTAAGCCATATATTCCAATGGAATCTTGAATGAAAATATTTATTCACTTTCACGGATTTTTTACATCCAGAAATAAAATCATTCATAAAGCTTATGACTTCAAAATTAATTTGACCAAACATAAAAAAGATGTACAACAATGGGCTTGTGCATGTATTTCCTATCAGAAAAACAAAGTTTCTCGTCACACAAAATCAATTTTCAGAAAATATCAAGATCCTGCTGAAATATTTCAAAGAAGTCATATTGACATAATAAGGCCATTAACACCATTAAATGGAAATTTTTAATCTAATTGTTGTAGAAAGCTTTGGCAATGGTTTCTACTAATATAATATTTAACCGAATTATTTCAACCCAGTTTGTAAATCTATCTATGCAAGTCAAGATAGATTTACAAATTGGGTTGAAATAATTCAGTTAAATATTATATTAGTAGAAACCATTGCCAAAGCTTTCTACAATTAGATTAAAAGATTTGGAATGCCCTATAAAATAGTAACAGACCGTGGAGCATAATTTTCTTCCTGAATATTTGAGAACTTCTCGAGAATCTGTGTTATCAAGCTTAATCATGCAACAGCGTACCATTCACACTGCAGTGGCAAAATAGAACAACTTTACAGGTCTCTGAAAGCAGCATTAAAAGACCATAACATCCTATAATATAACATGGAGTGAAACTTACAAATGTCCTCTTCTAGCGGTTCAACAGCATACACGCGTCTGACCAGCCGCTCAGCTACAGATTCTCCCTGTTTTGAATAACTGTCAGGACAATTTGATAAATCGTCTAAATAAAACTCTGCAGTACCATTTTTTTCGCTGATCGTGAGCAGTAATTTTTAAAAAATTTTTATTTTTTATTTGTTTGCTTCAACATCTAGAATAAATCTGATTTTATTCTGGTGTGACCATCACAATCTTGTTAGCCAAAGTAAATTGCTATTGTTTATTGCAAATGCTGCACAGGATCGATCAGAAGTCCTGGAGCCTGCAACAATTGACCCAATCACTTAAGTCATATAGTATCAAATTAGTCAAGTTATTTACACTCCCATTGGCAAAACTTCAAATTCCCTTGTGAACAATTTAAAATTGGAGGGGATTCAAAACTTAAATTGGCATAGATTTTAAATAAAATTCTTACTGATTTTGAGGGTGATCTGACATAAATCCATTTTCTCCAGAAGCTGGAAAATTCTAAAGTATGTATATGCATGTATGCGTTTGCACTGCATATAGTTATTAGTTTAATTTTTTTCAATTGCTCACCTAACTCTCAGTTACTATAACCTTCCATTCATCAGAGCACTGATAAGATCATTGAGGGCTAGCATAAAATATTTTAAACAACAAAATAAGCTGTGCAAAATGGCAGCAGATCTCATGAGCAGTAAAAGAGCACTAAGTGGTCATGTCGCTGAAAGATTTAAAAATATGTGAATGCTTTTCTGGCTGTCTCTCAAAATAGAGACGATATTTTTGTGTAGTAGTAAAATATAATTAAATACCCATAATGAATATTGCCAAATAATTCAACAGTCATATTGCAAGGCACTCATTTCCACAAGACAGCAAAATAGTCTAGAGCCATGTATGAATATCATAGAGGTGTTCTGTAATACTAAAAATATTGTAGAAAAATAACACTGACAATAACAATGTGATATCAGCAATTTGCAGAACTTTCTGAAGTTGTTTTAAAATATAATATTTTTGCCAAGAGCCATTTGTTTCTTAAACATCTAAAATTGAAATTTTAACATCCCCATTCTATACATTTATTACCTAGCTGGGAATAAATTTCTTCTTGTTTCTGTGGAGCCAGTGTTAGACCTTTATCATGGAACGTAAATTTCGTCATTAGTGGACGGACTAATGAAGGTCCATAACACTTTTCATGCAAAAGGGAAATGAAAATTAAAACATGCCATTCAGATATCTTTTGATTTTGACAAAAAATTTTTGATTGAGATCTTTTGCGCATTAGATTTTGAGTTAACCCTCCGTAGTTTTAATTCTACAGGCAGCCAAGGAGTTGCAAAGAAACGCCAAATTTCCCATGAGAAATTATTATTTATTTGATTTTAATACTAAAATGGACCTGGTACTTTATACTAACATTAATTGCTTTGAATATATTGACTTTAATTTCTTGGGCATTTTTCAACACGTAAGTGTATATACTTTCTTAAATGCATTGCAAAAAATACTGTGCTGTATATATTGGTCAGAGGGTTAATACTGTCTTTATTTCTCTGTGATTAATTTCACCTTGTTTTCAAGTATTCTTGCCCTTGGTATTCCTTACATATAATTAATGTTTTGGAACTCAAGAGTTTGGAAGAGAATCTTTGTGATACTTGAACCATCTTTTATTCTTCGTAGCTGTACTTAGTCTAATAGTTTAAAAGCTTCTGTAAGCATTAGTTTTCTTTACCATCTTGCTGTGTTTTTATGACTTGGTGGATCAAACGTGAGTTGTTGGAATGCAACAGCATAAATTTTACGCTTAGTTTACATTTTAAATATCATTCTGTTATTAGTGTATGATTCTTAGGAGGAAATTTAATCAACTATTTTCTCCTCCTTAAATCTCCATCTATAATCATTGTTAGGTGAATTTCTTTGTTTTAAAGTATAAAACACTGTGTTCTTATATTAATGAAAGGTTTTTCCACCCCCCTCAGTCGGTTCCAGTGGAAAATGTAAAATAAAAGTTCAAGTACCTGTATCTAATGCTCTTCCTCCTCCCCCTCCTGCTGTGCGGCCACCATCACCTCGTTCATCCCAAAGTCCAAGTAGCAGTACAAGGTCTAGAACTACTGTATCAAATGGTGGCCAGAACCCTGAGAAAAGCCATTCCCAACCATCCGATCAAGTTACATCTGCTAGCTCTGCTTCAGATGAAGAAGAAAATCTGGTAGACTCCAGATCTCCATCACCTGCTATTTCTAAAGTTCTTGTTACGGAACCAGATACTAGTTCTGTATCTAAATCAAGCCCTTCAGGTACGTGTATGTGCTTGAGTTCGTTTTTGATTAATATTTGCATCTGGAATTTTTTAGATATGTAGAAAATAGTATATTGTTCTTCACTTGTGGTTGTACTACAAGAATATCCTAGTCATATTGTAATATGGTAAGAAACTATAGCTCGAGTAAAATCCCTTGTAGGTACAGTCTTTAGAATCAGGACTCTGCAGTATGCAGTTATGCTGATTCCTGATTCTATATGCGATATTATGCATTATACTGACCACTTGCGAATTTATCTGGTCATGTATACAGGTGTATATACTAATAGTCATGCATATAAAGTAATAGATAAGATTATGTTCTGGCCTTAAAATATAATGATAAGGGCATGTGGTATTTATTACATAAAAAGCAATGTATCAAAAATTATGAAATTTTCATATGTGTGTTCTAATAATCTTGCATACAGAGCAATGTAATTTTTTGGCCTGTAATTGTAATGGCACTGCATATTATACTATATGTGATATTTGGCTTTGTTGTGCAAATTTTGTTTGTGTGTTATACCTTTGCCTTATTAAACTTAGTTGCAATTATTGGATGCAATTTACATTTAGATTAATTGCTTCCATCAGCAGACAATTAAAAGGCTGGTTTTTGGTAAATACTTATTAGATTTATTGGTGAACATCTGCCATCTCATTAGGAATGACATACATTTTTTGTTCTAATGCATGAATATTTCATTTGCTGTACCTGATTCAATAAATTTCTTCCTAAACAAAGGTCCAACATGAACATTTTGGTATGCAGCACCCAAAGTAATATATGTTTTTCAGTCAAAAACTAAGTAAGCAGACACTTTGTATGAATGCTAACCTCAAAATCAGCTGATTTGGGGGGGGGAGTCGCTGACTTTGATTTTTATGCAGTTTGAAACTTTTTATTTGTACCGTGAAATATTATAAAGTCACATTCATGTATGTTGTATGTTTCAAAATGCATAAGTATTTCATATGCATATTTCTTTAATACAAAGAAACTCATCCTTGTAAGCCAGTATTGTATACTGCCAATATTTTTATCATTTTATCAGTACAAATTTTATTAAATCATATACAAAGAATATTTGACTATTTGAAATATTATGCAACTGCTATTCATATCATCTAGGTGAATTTCTGTAGTAGCATTGGCAAAAATGGATTAGAAGTTACTCTAAATGGTACTTTGCAGTGTCAGTAGACGTGTACATTTTTGGGGGGTTGCTTTTTTCATGCTATAAAAACTTCAAATAACCTGTAACTTGTAGACCCAAAGTTACTTAGAAGAAGGCTTGGTGTGTATCAGCTGTTATTTCATAACGTTTTCAATTTAAATTATAAAAATGTAGGAGGCATCAGTTCTAGCATATTTAGTCCCCTTCCATGCTTAAATTAAAAGAAAATTCTATTCTCAGACCAAAATGTCACTAGTCTAATTTTGGTAGCAGAAAAAAGTATTAAAACTGTTTGCTGCAGTAAATATTGTCCAATATGCCTTGTTGAATCTGTCATTAGAAACTTCTTGTTAACCCTTCATGGAGTTACAATAAAGTTTTTAAACAGTTGTGAAAACCACTTTTTTCCAGCAAGTTCTTAAAAACTAGGAGGTTATTTCCTATCGTCAGTGATACAACGTATCTAGTATTTTCTCTTTGTTTTTATGATTTTATAAAATTTCATATAACCACTTGCATTTGCTTCAGAAGGCTTTGTGGAGGATTGGTGATTCTGGTAACTTCTGGATTCTGAAGACTGGCAGTTGCACTTTCATTAACCCTTTGAGCCGGGTAGCGAAAACGCACGCTTATCGCAGAGGCCGGCAGTGTCTTTCGCGAGCGTCTCTCCAGGGCCTGGGGCTTTTTTGCTACTAAGCCTAAATCCATGAAATTTCTGAAGTATCAATGCATTGTTTAATAATGCTCTATAAAGTATTTAAACGGCTTATGCTTTATAGATATTTTTATCTATATACTTTAATTACCTTATTTCTTGTTTAAATGCATATTTTACACATTTTATTTTAATTACTCATCATTTTATGACTTTTAAACATATACATCCGAAAACTAAATATATTACTTAAATTCTCTTTTCGTATGAAAAATTTGAAAACAGGGATCTACACACAGTCCTACGTTACATTCCTTGAACTCGTAATAACTCATTTGCCGTTTTGGAGGATTTTTCCGGGAATGTGAACAAACGAAGCATCGTCGTCTCATTTTCTTATCAGTCTCTTCTGAACAAAGTTTTGGAAAATGTCTTTCAGTTAATCTTTCAGAATCAATATCTGAAATATTTTGCACCATTTCTATTTCATGCTCTGTTAAATATTTTCGACGCTTCGACATTGCAACGGTAAAAACAGAAAGAATTCACGTCTAACAAGATCTAATTATTTTCTAAAAACTGAACTGTAAACCGAAATATTCAACGCTTTAGCACATATAAAACTTCTACTTACAATAAACAACTACCACGTGCGAATAAAGTGCGATTTAAAGAGACGTCATAAATCACGCCATTCGGAAACATTTAGTTCCCCGTTTGTTTATATAATCAAAAACACGTGTATGTGAGTCATGCTTCTCTCATTTTGAGTAGAAGGTCTAATGTACATGTATCTAAAACCATATGGACATACAGTGCCATCTTGTGGCAGAAATTATAGTTTCTAAAACGTGACAGTCGGTAGTAAACAGGAAAATGCTCTGGCACGCCTGCGTGTCAGCCGGTAGGTAAGTGTGTTCGATGCTGGCACGTAGCCTGACAGTCGATGCAAAGGGGTTAAACAAAAAGGACAAAAAAGAAATGCTATCTTCTAATGTGTATACATTTAGTAAATCATCTCATTACTATCCATCCTAAACAAGGTTCAGTTACAATTAATTTATATTCTTCTTTGTACTAGTTATCAACTTCCCAGCAATATATGCCTAGATAAGGATTCACGTGAAGGATTTTGATCATAATCATTTTTACTCAGTCCATATTCTTTCTCATCTAAGTTATTCTCATATTCATTTTGCCACAGTTTCTGCTGTGGCACATATTTCTTCTGTCATTACCTTTAATTGGTTTTTGGTCTTTAAAATCGTAAGTTCTGTCTATTTCTTATTATTTGATATTTTTTATGTTTTTGAGCTACTCTGCAGGGGGGAGGCAGAAACATCACGGCGCGCAATGAACTGGAAGTTTATCTGTCAGCACTATCCTTATCTTCAGGGCAGATGTTTTAATTTTATTTGGTTTATAATTGCTTACTAAATGTAGTATTTCATCTCGATGTACTCCGTCTTTGATATGATTTAAATCAAATTCCTCGTCATTATAAATATCACAAGTACACATCAAATAGTTTTCTAGTTGCAATTTTCTAATTTCGACTATGCGTGATGTATGCTTTACGCATGCGTGCGTTGAAAGAAATGTTTAATAAAGTAAACAAAGAAACATTAAGCTTTTTTTTTTGGTAAATTTTGATACCCTTTAGATCATAATTGCTCTTTATTTCATAAATTACGTTTTCATATTTTTAATTTTATAATTTCTGCATGCCATTTTACCAGATTTAAATTGATGATCTATAATCCGGAAAAACCGATAATCCGGAATCACCGAAGTCCCGACGTGTCCAGATTAAAAACTTTCACTGTATCAAGTTTATAATATAGTCTGCCCATTTCTTTGCAGCTTCATATTTAGCAACAGTTCTGTCATACTGGTTTGATTCTTCAAAGTATGCTTTCCCCCCCCCTTCTGGTCACATGTATATTTCTCAGTTTTATGGCACATATTTACTTAGTGAGCAAACAGTGTTTGTTAAAACATTTTGTGTATTTGACATCTTTAGATAAATGACCTGAAACACATTTGCTTCTTTAATCTAATGACATATTTGTAACTGATTTACATTCTTTAGAATCATGGTTCGCATCACAAACTATGCAAGTTCCTTTCTTTCTAAAATTTGTCTTTATCAGTACAGTTCAAAAACCTCAAAAATGGCATTGCTCTCTGTTTTTGCTTAAAAGCAGTTATTTTTGTTTTGTTTTGCTTGTTAGTTAGTGCCCCCCAGGTTGACGTAGACAATTCTGCAAAGCTACTGTCTAGGATTTGTACCTAGGCAGTCTCGGCCACGGGGGGGGGTATAAAATTTATGAACTTGGTGGTTCTGAAGGCCCCGAGAAAGGTCACTCATTGGTCGTCCTCGATGATGATGGCAAAACTTTTTATAATTCAAAATTGTTTTTGAAAAATTATTTAAAAATTCAAATTTTTAAAGTAAATGATAAAAAATAGGAAAATTTTATTTGGAATGAACCTAAATTTCGAAATATGAAAGGAAGAATCAAATAAATTTAATAAAAAAAGGAGATATTATTAAATATATATCAAATTCAATTAACATTGAGGAGCTAAAATTTTGAGAACCAATTTTTTTAAAAGCTTGGCAGCTTGGTATAATTTTAGTCGTAGAATCGAAATATGGAAAAAAATTGGCATGTCTTATTAGAGAAGTCCAATTTTGTGTTGAAATACCTGTATTACAGCAGTGCTATATATAAATCAAATACATAACCTAAGCACGCTTTTGAAACATGAAAAACAAATATTGAATTTTGTCAATCAGCCTTCTAGAACGAGAGATATAGAATTGTACCTGCTTTCAAAGGTTTGTCTAACTTATTTACAGTTTTAGTAAAATTTGCTCTTAAACAACATCTAGAAGATTGAAGCTTTAATGTAGGGGCTGATCTGGAGACAAGCAGTAAAGTACACTGGTAGTTTGATCTGAGTTCGTCTCCACACAAATCTGACTGCATAGAAATTTTCATAGTTTTCCCCATGTGTAATATGAATACAAGCACACTTGATAAAATTCAGTAAGATAAACCTCGTGTGCTTTCCATAATCAAATGTGAGGGTCACTCTGAAATTTGTTTAGATACACATAAGATTTCAAGCTTATGAAATTTTTGATGTGTTCAAAGTAGTCTCTTCCAGCATCAGTGCTTTTTTCTAGGCGAATTATCCAAAGATTAAGTGGTGCAAGCCATTCATTTCTTAGAATCGATGAAAACAGTGCATTTATATAGCATCATCTATCTTATCTTCAAATTGAAACAGCATCATCTATCTTATCTTCAAATTGAAACAATGTCCACGTACATTAAGTTATTTTTTAAATTAAAAAACAGCTAAAAGTCATACCACTTTGATGTGTTTTTGTTCAAGAAACTCGATTATCAATCTTGCTGAATGAGAATGTCATGGCATATGAGTCTACTATATCTTCTTTATCTTCGTAAAAAAATCTCTGGAAGATACTAAGTGATGTACCAGTTAGCTGTGACTGTATTCTGACCTTCCAGCTTGGTGGCTTTAACCCGTTCCAGGGCCAGCATTTCATATACGCTATACAACTCTTCCACTCTTACCTGCCCAGCATTTCACCACTCTGAGTTTAAAACGTCATGTTTTTCCATTGTATTTCTTTTTATTTATAGAAATTTGAGCTTAGTAAGTGGTTGAGTTTATTAACCTGTGAGTTTAATAAGCAGTGGTGGTACTGTCATTTTTATAGGGGCAACTAGAAAAGGAAAATTCTTCGTGGTGTTTATCTAGAAGTGAGCCTTGAAGCAATAATCAGTATCTGTGGGTGGGGGGGGTGGCTGCGTGTGTGCGTGCATCAGATCCTTACTAGTCCTTTATTTTCGGAGCCATTTGTCATACACGTATACTTCCAAATAACATGAAGATTCAAGTTTGGGCACCTTTAAAGAAATGCATTTTGTAAAAATTAATGTAATCTACCTTTTACATATACCTCCAGCCCCTTAACTTATATTTAACAAAGTTTTTTAGTCGTTATAAAAAATAAAATTTAAGTTTGACTCCGATATGGAAAAACTTGAACGAGACATTCAATTTCAAATTTATATATTTGACCTTTCTGTTGTGAGGGTTAATTTTGCTTTGTTAACAAATAAATTCAGATAATTCAAGATTTGGTTGATATTCTTCTCTGATTTACAAGTGGATTATATATAATTCTGTTGTATTTGGTATGTCAAAAGAATTTTTACACAAGTATTTGTAAGTTTATAATACATAATACTGAAAATAATACATTATTAATATTGTCTGGTAGTTTTATTGCATCAGAATCATAATCTACTTGTAAAACAATTCATTAAAGTACAGGTATAATGCAAATAATATTACAAGTTAGCTATACAATAATACTGAAGCCTGCCAATCTTTTCTAAAACATAAAATTCAATAGGATTCTGTGAATAAGATCTTCTGTTTGAAAAAAAAAATTATATTGATCGATAATTTGCATAGAAAGGCTCATCGATTAATCTTTTAACATCAGAACTATTTTTCTAAACAATATTTTATTTTTAGTTGCTTACAGATGCAAAACTTTTTGTTTCCAACTTTTGTATGGCACCTGAATATGATTCTTGATCTTTATACATATGACTTCTAATCTTTATATCAAATATATTGCTCAGATTTTGTCATGAAGTCATTATTTCTTGTAACAAGTACAAAATATTCCTAAAACTAAATATGGGGATCGGATAAATGTGTAATTATTTCTTATAATGAGTACAAAATATTCCTAAAACTATGTTATAGGGATTAGACGAATGTGTAAAAAGTTAGATTTTGTAATTTTTACAAAATTCATTTCTTTAAATTTAAAAATGTCAAAACATAAATCTTTGCATCATTTAAAGCACTTTTGTTATGGGAAAGTGTATATCTAGTATCACCGGTTGCAAAAATAAAGTTTGGGCAAGGACTCTTGTGAATGGACTTTGTCCAGTGATTCATATCAAAGTTGGGCAGATAATGCAGTGAATTATTTAAATTCATTTAATTTTATTGTTGTATTTGTGTAATATATTATTTCTTTATTTGCTTAACTTTTGCATTTTAGGTAATAGTGGTAGGGTTTGTGTGTGGCCATATGTTTTGTACAAAAGCATTATTTCTTGTATAGGATTGTTGATCTTTCAATTCTCAATCCAACAAAATTTTAACTGTCTAAGTAGTTCAACTAAAATATAAGATATAGGTTAAAACGCTTCAGAGGGTCTTTGCAACATCTAGAGATTTCTTGCCAACTTGGGGGCTTTCTAGAAGTTTCTCGAGAGTGTGTTTTGAAGCTGTTGGAGCCATTTTCCGTGAAGCTTCCAGAAGACTACAACGCAATATGAATGCAGCTATGTGTTAAAGAGGATTTTCTTAGTACTTCCATTGTCCTTCACCTGTTTATAATTATTTGTTCCACTGTATGTCATCATTAATTATAGTAAATTGTCAATTTCTTCATGCTCATCTGAAGTGATTATTTAAAAAGGCATCCATGAACCCATAACTTTCACTCAAAAAATTATCTTAAGCTGCTTACTCACCACTGAATGCCTTGTGTTTTTGATTGTTGTATAGGACAGTACTGAACATCACTGCTGCCCAGTTTTTTGTGGGTGTGTGTATGTGTTGCTTTAAATATCAATGTTGTGTAATGGAAAGAGGTGCAAAGTGGCATGTGTTGCCATTATAATAGCCATCATGATTTGCATTGCCAGTAAACATTTAAGTCACCCACTAAGCTTGAAATCACTACTTTCAACATTTTTTAGCTTATGAACTCTGTATTTCATTAAAAACAAATCAAATATTCTTTTTTTAATAGTAAAAAAAGTACAAGTTTTACTTAACCTTTTCTCGTGGGCTATAGGGTCCAATTTTGAATGTATTTTGGCCATTTAGTCACTTATTTTAACTGAAAGGAACAGAAAAACAAATCGACAGGGTATTGCACTTCCTAATCCATATTAAGGAGTAAATTTTAAATCTCCATAGTTTACTGAAATTTCTTGAGACACATTTAAAGTAGTGAACGTGCGGGACATATATGTCCCAGCCCCCGGGAAAAGTTTAATTGTGTTTATTGTTTAAGTAAAGTTGTTTTTTTTTTTTTTTTTTTTTTTTTTTTTTTTTTTTTTTCTAGTGTGCACTTATATAAATCATGGTTGTACTAGTGGACCATACCTTAATTCAAGAAGGGTAGCTAGTTTACCTGTAAAGTATGGACCTGGTTCCATGAATCGTGTATTGAGAGAAGCTGTTCAGACATTTATTGACTGTGCTGAAAATGAGAAGAATGTTTTTTGTTTGCTAAGGCAGGGTGAAGGAAAAGTTATTATAACAGGTATGTGAAAATGTACAATTTTTATAAAGAACTGTTTTCTAAATTTGGAATTTTTAATTTACTTTCTGACATTTTTAATTTTAATTGCTTTGTGAATTCTTATATGTAAAAACTACGAAGATTTTTAGCAAATTCTGTGAAGAAATTCATGCAAGATAAAACTCATGATGTGACTAATTTTCCACCGAATGCTGCATTAAAATAGGTTGCTGCCAGATTTTTTACATTATCAGAATTTGACATTCTTTCTGCATTGACTCCTTATAGAAAGCGATTTTGTGTATGTGTGTTATCTTAGTTGTTTCCATTTAATTTGTACATTGCAAGAATTTCATTCATATGTGGTTCAGCATACATTGATCAACACTGAATGCTTCCTGACATCTGCTCTGGCCAGAAGTTCAGAGTTGTAAAAGATTTCCGTTAATTGAAAAATTAAGCCCGAGAAATCCTTCAAATTTCAAAACGCAACAGTTGGGAAAAGATCTTCAAATGTAAAAGGAGGAGAAGTCAAGAAATTAATCAAGAAATAAAGAATTTGATGATCTTATAATATCAGTTGATAGTGGAAACAGCAAAAGTGAAGACGAAGTTAAAGCACCTTCAGCTTACAGAAAATTAAATGAATTTTTAGGAAAAAAAAGGCTCAGGAACTGTTTTGATTTTGCAGTGGAATTGGCGCATATAAAAAAGAAAGAAGACAGTTTATAAGAAGCATTCGAAAACTTACCATGAAATTTTTAAACAGCTTTATCAGTCATTGCTTGTCCCTAGTAAAAAAACACCAGCTTTTTAAAAAAATAACATCACATATTTATCAAACAGTAATATAAAAATTCAATTGACATTTAATTACAACAATATTTAGGCTTGTTTAAATTATAAATACTCTTTTAGTCTGAACTCAACACATTTTTTTCCATAGAAGGATAGCTTTAGAGAACACGATATCACCATAAGCACAATGTATTAATGACATAACCCACTATCGGCAAGAATTTACTGTATTTATTTATTTATTCTAAGCTAAACTGTTTGTGTCATACTCTAAATTAGTGTTGCCATTAATGTAAAGGTAATGCATTATCTGAAAAAAGATTATCTTCTCTTGAAGGAGAAGAATTGCTTTATTATCATTTGAAGTGCACTACAGACTCTTAAAAGAGAAACAAATTCTATAAATTCATTTCTAAAATTCTGAAACACGTTTGCAAAAGCTTTAAGAAAACACTTAGTAAAAGCATTCTTTCTGTACAGCAATTTCCACCTTTCAGATATGAATTCTTATTTTGGGGGTTTGACAGGTTCATTATAAACTGCTTTTATTGCAGTTTCTATAGTTTTTCTTATTTTTGTCCATACAAATCGCTGAATGTGTAGAAAACTTGGTCTTTATAGATGCTTGTCTATATAGAATTATTATAGGTCTTTATTAAAAGAATAATGACAGATCTCATTGGGTTTTTACAAGAGGAATACTCAAGAAATGATATACTGACATTCCAGATGCTGTCTTCCTTCATTGATTAAGCACAACCGCACTTAGGATTTTTATTGTCAAAGGGTCACACTTTTTGTTTTGCTTTAGCGTACTTAAAAACTCACCTAGATTGGTTAAGATTTTAATCTGAAATGTTAGCCAGTAAGAATTCTTCTAGAGGTATAAATGAGTTCTTAGTTTATGAGTTCTAGAGGTATACATGAAGGCATTTTTTCTTCATCCATGTACCATAATTCATGCTTTTGTGAAAGCTACATGTCATTAGTATGAAAAAAGTAAGCATTGCATTTGCAGTGGCTGGCCAAGTAATTGGATTAAATTTTATTCTTTTACCCACTTCGACAGCAGTTTAGTTTTTTTATAATATTAGAAAATTCTTATTGTTTGAAAGAATTTTTATCTATAGTGCAATCCAAAATTCCAATGTCCAATATCCGGAATGATCTAGTATCCAGACCTCTGTATCACCTGCAATAATTTTTCTCCCTTATTAAGTCTAGGAATGAAGAATATGATACTTAAGGTAAGAGGTGTGCCATGTAAGATGTTTCTCCCATCCAAGTCAGATTCTTGTATGTCACTCTCAAATATCATGCCCTTTTTGAATCTTTTTGGCCCCTGAGTAATATTGGGTAGCATTTTTCCATCTGACCTAAATAATAACTGAGGCCTCAAAATGTTTTATTTTTAGTGGAATATTTTTCATGCTGGTTACTTTTTGTTGGCCTAACAGCAAGAAGGGAAGAAAGAATTTTATGATTAACTCGGATAGCAGTATGAATTATGCTTTTCATTAACTTTCTGATTTGATCCATCTTCTTATTTTATTCCTTCTATTGTTATTAATCTATTTTGAGTGAGATGTTTTTCATACTGGTTTTCTTTTGATAGCATAACAGCAAGAAGGGAGAAAAAATTATTTTCCGATTAACTGAGCTAGCAGTAGAAATTATGCTTTTCCTTAACTTTCTGATTTGATCCAGTTATTATTTTATTCTGTCTAATGTTATTAATCTTATGAAAAGTGCAGTTTTAGTAAATGGAAAGAACTCTTTTACTTTTTTTCCCTAAACTATATGTCCATCAATCTGCTAATGGATGTCAGAATTTCGCATATACTAAAATTGCTGTATGTAAAGAAACTTCTTTAAAAACCGATGCATTAGTAATATCATTCAAAAATTCTGACAGTATTTTGATATAATGTAGGGAACATTGCAAAATCATGAGAGAATGTATCTGCAGATACTTTCTAAAGTGCCTACCAGCCTAATATATAGCTAGCTACCAAATTTCATGTTGATGACTTTCGCTTTTCGCAAGCGAAATTTTCTGATTAATGGAATATAAAAAAATGCTTCTGAAGATAACGGAACTGAAGTCTTACAATGCAATAACAATGCCTCAATCATCAATTAATCAATCAAATGCCATATATCTGTAATATGGTTTTAAATCCGGAAAATACCTCCTATTCATCTTTGAATCACATTTTAACTTCCCATGGTGATAATTAAAAGAAAATAAATCTTTCTTTATACAATATACCGCTCTCTTTAGGAAGTAATTAAGAATAGTTTTAATTTTCTAATTTCTGTATGTAATCTTACTAAGTTTAGACTTAAAATCTAACATCTCGGGTTGATTCCCGACGATTCCAGATCTCAGACTTTATGTTATGATAACTATGATATGTTTATTTTGCATATTGATTGAAACAATTTGAAAATTTGTAACTGGGATAGTAGTGAACGCATCAGAAACACAGCCTGATGTGTTAACCAGGATAGTAGTCAACTCATCAAGCTGTAGTTCTGAATGCCAGCAAACTTTACGTACTTGTCTTAGATGTACCGTATTTTCTTGCATATATTTAGCCTTTTTTTATTAATGTCCGAAAATCAAGAAGAGAAAATTCTGGAAGAAGTTCAATTTTCAAAAGATGCAATATCTATAGTAAGGAAATTAAAAGTATTCATTAATAAACTACTGGTAACTCTCACAATATTATTTTTTAAAGACCCCTATATTCCTTTAAAACTTCATAGTAATATTGCATCACAATATCTAATATCTTCATTTTTACTCTGCTTAACTGGAACATTCTTATTATTATCTCAGCTACTTCTTCGGCATCAAATCATCTACAAATTTTTTTTAAAAAATGAATGTGCAAGTGTAGACGGAATGTCAATTTGTTTTCTTCACTGTTTTTGCTTGGTTCTTTTATTAGGCTGGAATAAAGTTCAGCTATTAGAAGAAAAAGGTTCAGTGTGACCTTCACAGGTAGTTTGCGACAGTTTGTCTTAGTTAGTCCAAAAACAATTATTACTATTTTTCACGGGGTTTATTCATTAAGTTATCAAAATGTTTTTTGACAGTCTCCAAAAAGGTGTACTCCAGGCTGTTCAGAGAATTTTGAAATGACTTGAAGAGATGAAAGCTTAAGGGGGTAAAATCTGATGAATATGGAGGGTGACACTAAACATACCAGGTTCATATTTTCCCCAAAAAACATTTACAATTTGTAAATAGCTTGAAATTAATGTTTAGGATCATAAAAAATATTTAACGTATCTGAAAAATTTTTATGAATTGAAAAATTTTCAGTACTTTAATTCTAACAATTCTAAGTTTCTTTCTGTTTTATTTAGCAAATTTTGATGGTAGAACACATACTTGTCGTTTACCACCAATTGATAAAGTATCATCATTTTGGAATTACCTTGAAAGTTTATTTGAAGATCTCATGTGTTGTGAAAACTTTTACACTAGTCAGCCTTTAGAAGGAGGATGTACAAAATGTGCCAGCAAAGGACCAATTAGGCGTGGTAAGTTTTTTTGTTTATTTTTTTAATAGATTTAGATCAGGGATTCCCAACCATTCTTTCTTTCACCTCTTTACAAGAATAGTTTTCTTCATCAGATCCTTACATTTTTCTCTGTAATATAGAGCAGAGGCAGCCAAACTTCTTCTCAATGAAAGCTACATATTTGAATTTAGGAAACTACAAGAGCTGCAACTAGATTTTCCAAAAGCCACAAGTCCATATTTCTATCATTTTAAAAGCAGTGAAATAGGTTCAGATGCAAAGAAGTGTCTGATAACTTCATAAAAAGAGATGAAGTAGATTGATTAGTTTGGACATTCAGTAGTTTGCCATTACGTATGGTATACATATATTTTATTTGCATGAGAGCAACATGTGACTTGAGTCGTGCTATGGCCAGCCCTGGTATAGAGCATACCATATATAATCAGGGGGGAAGCAGCAATTAGCTTGTAGCATTCTTATCAAATTTAAAGGCTGTGTGTATGTATCGATTACCTAATTGCCATTAAAGCGTAACTACTGTTAACAACCGGCATGGCTAAAAGAATAGGAGCAGATTTTTGCTGTTGTTCATTAGTTTTGCTTTCTTTATATTTTTTATTGTGCTTTCTTGTTTTTCCCAGAGTTTTATGCATTTTTTATGCTCTTAGTCCTTAAAAAATTTGTTGATTTTAAAAACATATTAAATAATTTGGTGCATTTTTTCCCTTATATTTATTTTCCATGATTTCTCCATACTCTACGATTCAGCTTTATATCAGTAAAAAAAATTATCAATATTATTAATACATTTTGGTATTCGATGAGATCTTGATTACGCTGATCCGTTGCCAATACACATTCGACTATCAACACCCAAGGGCCAATACTGACCTCCCTGGGAACCTCTGATCTATATTTTAAAATATGTTGCTGCTCATTTTGTTTTGTAATTGAAATTACTGGAATATGTGACCTTTATGAAATAATCCATTCTTAGCTGTAATTTTTTAGAATGGTACCCTGTAAGTACATATAATTATTAATTTGAATTTTGTCTGACAGGATAGCATACTAATGCTGTCATATAATAGTTCATTATTGCCACATTTTATTATATTTGAAGACAAGTACAAATATAACATACCAAGGAGTTTATACTCTGCATATGAATTGAAAATTATATGTATGTTTCCATAAGGTCTGAGGTAAAAGTAAATGGTATTGCCAGGTGTGATTCTCTCATTTACCGTGTTGCAAGATTTTGATTAATTTGATTATGATCAGTTTAGTACAGAGTTCTTTTAAATAAGAGGGAGGATGGTAAAGCCTTCTCTGTTTTCAAAATTGAAAGTTAGATTAAGATAGTTATTGTTACATTTGAGTTTCCAGGTCTCGGTACATCTTGGACAAAAACATTATTGGGTGGACAATGCTGCTGAGAGTCAACCAATGAATCAGGAATTCCTGTCTTTTAACTCTCGTGCTTATTGTCATGTGTATGTGCTCGCAAGAAATGCACTCATTTCCCGGTCAGCCCGCTGGCGTGCCAGAGCATTTTCTCGTTCACCCCCGAGCCGTCGCATATTTCTGCCAGTGTCTTGGAACATTTTATAAACTGTAACTTTTACCACAAGATGGCATTGCATGTCCAGAAGATTTGAAATGCATGTAGATTTGACTATCTACTTGAAATGAGAGAAGCATGACTCGCTCAGGGGGCAGAGGAAAGCATAATGTAAACAAGCAGAGTAATGTCTCTAACTCACCACGTGATATAAACATTCAAATTTCTGATATTCCTCCGAATCTTTTTTTGTTTTAATTTTTCCCCCCTCTACTTTGTATTTTCTTTTAGGGTTACTGTGTGATGTTCTGTTGTGCTTTGCATTGCTTTCAGATATATTTCGTGTTGTTCCCTTTTTATTTTGGAAAACCTTGATTCCAATGTATTATGCCAAGAAAGTGTTATTTATCAGAGGAAAGATATACTCACATAGTAAATGAGCTATTTAATGATATGGATTAGTGATTCAAGTGACATTTCTAGTCATTCTGATAGGGTCATTTGTCAGAAATTGAGCTCTTTGAGTGCCTGCTTTCCTCTCCCCGTGAAAAATTTTGTTATCACATTGTTCGGAAAATAATGCAGGTTTTCGCAATTATTTATACTTCCTATACATTTTAGCAACAAAAATATTTTGAATTACATTGGTTTATATTATATTATGAAGCTCTATTTTCGCTCTATACTTCTATAATAATCTTTTTGTTCCAAAATTGTTTTAATAAATATTTACTATGTGTTTTTGTTTAGATGTCAAAACGAAATTTTCAGAAAATTTACTTTTATAAGCTAGGCTACAGTGCAAACAGCTTGAAATGTCAATGAAATATGGGGCGAGGAAATTATTAATGAATCTATAGAGTTCAATGGTGGTACCAAAAGTTTCGCCGTGGAGAATTTGACCTGGAAGATCAAGAGCATCGTGTACCTTCTTCAGCTGTTGATGCCAACGATTTGAAGACTTTAGTCAAAACAAACCCGTGCGCAGCTGTTCTAGAGCCAGTGGATAAGCTTGGCGTAAGCAAAACAACGATTTCTGATCACTTGAATCTTATAGGAAGGTCAAAGAAGCTCCATAAGTGAGTGCTTCACGAATTGAGCAAAAATTTTAAAAAATCCCTATTTTGAAGTGTCGTCTGCTCTTCTTCTCCGCAACAAAAACGACCCTTTTCTTGATCAAATTGTTACGTGCGATGAAAAGTGTATTTTCTATAACAACCGGTGACGTTCGGCTCAGTTGTTGGACCGCGGTCAGACGCCACAACTCTTTCCAAACCCAAATTTGCACCGAAAGAAAGTTATAGTGATTGTTTTGTGGTCTACGGCCGGTCTCATCCACCACAGCTTCCTAAATCCGGATGAAATGATTATGGCAGATAAGTACTGTCAGCAAATCAATGAAATGTACCAAAAATTGTAACAAATGTGCCCAGCAGTGGTCAACAAAAAGGAGCCAGTTCTTCTCCATGCCAATGCTTGACCACACGTCTTGCAACTGACCCTACAGAAATTGAACGAATTTGGATATTAGACTCTCCCTCTTTCCCCATATTCGCCTGACCTCTCGCCAACCGATTACCACTTTTTAAGCATCTGGATAAACATTCTGCAGAAGAAATGCTTCAGAAACCAAAATGAGGCCAAAAATGCCTTTAACAACTTTATTGCGTCCAGAACTTCAGAATATTATTCTACCGGCATAAATAAACTTATATCTCCTTGTCAAAAATGCATTGATTCGGCTGATGCTTATTTTTATTAATAAAATTGTTTTTGAGTTGAGTTATGATACTTTAAAGGTATAGGTTAAAAACCTGCATTATTTTCTGGGCAAACTAATACTTCTTGTAAATAGTCTTTCTTGTGCTTTTTAATTATATTTGAAGTTTATTAATGTGTTTTGTCAATTAGAATTTCATAATAATATGAATAGCTCATTTGAAAATTATTTTTAAAGTGTCCTTTTTTTTTAAAGAAGAAAATGCTGATGAACACTGCTCTGACTTCTATCAGATTAACATTTATTTAAGTTTATTCATATCAAATTTCACAAAACAGAAAATCAGTCATTGTTCTTTTGATTTCTAATATTGGCACTCTTACGAAAGAAAAATCTCCCATGAAGAGTTTCACAGATGGCGCTTCGGAAATGCAAATGATGTCATCACATAAATTAACCTCTGTTTTTAATATATTTTCATATGAAATAAAGGGAGAAAAAGACTATTAAATGCTAATTTTAGCTTATATGATAGCTTAAGTAATAATCTAAAATAGTACCTAAAATCATGATGTTATGACTAAACTTTTTTTAATGATTTTTTCCCCTAAAGTTAAGCTTAGACGTGCCGTCTTGAATGGGTTAATTATCCATGCATCATCCTTGTGTCTGATTTGCGTTTTGTTCTCATTAGCTCTTGCATCTGGAATGAATGAAATGAACTTCTTTGGAATTTCTGGCATGGAATCAATGTTTCTCAATTCATTCGTATGCCTGTTGGATATATACTAGTGTCTGAAACTAGTTACAAATATAAAATGTGATATCTGGAACAGTAACTGGTTTTTTATGAGATTTCTAGTATTAAAGAGATAGTGTAAGATTTGTATATTATATCTAATTTGTATGGGATGCCTAATGAACATAGCCATGCTGCATAGCTTTTCATGCCTTAGAATGAAATGTCAAACTGCAAAAAAATTTGTTAACCATAGCTTGGGGAAACAAATTCTGTTCTAAATTAATTATTTCAATGCCTTGAAGGGTCCTGGGAGAGAGATGAAATGAGGCAATGGCTCTACCAAAGCATCCTAAATGTGCAATTTTCTTGACCACACTGTGCAGCAAATATTCTGTTTCTGCAGAAAGTCATCAATTATTTTGTTTTTCTATGGCTTTGCTTTATAACCCATGAAAAAATCCTCTCCAATAGCTGGTGAGTCTCATAAGGTCCAAGAACCTCATCCCTATAGCACTGTGAAGTCGCAGGGCTTGTTCACCCAGCATATGGCCTCATAACAGGATTCCACTTCCTCCAAAGTGGTCAATTGCATTATCTTAAAAGGGTGATAGGCCCTACAAAATTTGTTCCGTAATGAAAGCTTGTTGAGAATCACTGTACAATGAATTTGAATTTGTCAATGAAGAGGATATAGCTCCAGTCTTGCTATGTCAAGAATGTTGTTTCCTAGCTCTTTCTGGAATCTGATGAGAAGGGCACGTACTATTGGTTGCTGAGCATAAGGGTCTTATTCTGATAGGCATCTATATACTATTTGTATGGAAATCGTTGTTCTAAATGCCATAGTGAGGTCCTGAGAGATGCAGAAGTGATCTGTCACTGCTCCATCTCTCAGAGGTGTATGTATTTAATGCCATATATTAATTCTCTGCATGAATTGTGACTCTTGGGCAGCCTTGGTTAAACCTGGCAATGATACCGTAGTTTGA